GCTCAAGCAACAGACCAAAGGTGGGCAGGCAGTGCTGCTGCAGGAGGTCCAAGGCCCAAGGTCCTTCTACCTTGTTGCTTTGCCAACTCTTAGTGTGTTGACTTTGTCTATGTGGTCAAATTTGGTTCCTACTGTCGTGTCTGTGCTATAGCCTGCTGGTTGAGTGAGGGGAAAGAAGAGGACAAGAAATTTTCTTGTCAAAACATGATCCAAAGATTGCTCACATCACTGTTACTTGCAAATCATTGTTTAAATTTCCATCATATCTTTATACCAAACTGCACACGAGTCTGGAAAATATAGTCTCTAGCTGAGAGGCCATGTACACAGCTAAAACTTACTATTAAAAGGAAGAGTAGGAGAATGTATACTGGGAAACAATTAGCAGTCTCTGCCACGGTCTATCAGACAATTTTATCTTGATAAGCTTCCTGAAAGACCTAGGCCTTTCCAAATAGGTGGGCTATATGACTCATAAAGAAACTGTTATAAAGAAGGTTGACTTGTCTGGGGTGTTTTCTGACATCAACCAATTATCCGATCTCAGATTCTCTGACCCCAACTGGGTATCCTACCATTTAATTCAATTCTGACATTAACTGTCTGTAGTTAGCCCCCACAGGTTAAAGGTCTCAGTCCCACAAGACTGTCCTCATTTCAGATGCCAGTTGAAAGTCCCAGTACTTCTGACCAACCCGCTATAAATTCGCGAGTTCTCATGACTCTTCTTAGGTTTGATAATTCCCTAGAATGACTCACAGAACTCAGGAAAACACTTTACAGTGCTTACTATTACTGGTTTATTATAAAGGATACAACTGGGGAACAGCCAAATGGAAGAGAAGCATAAGAGGTGTGTGTGTGTGTGTGTGTGTGCACGCGCGCATGTTGGGGTGAGGGAGTAATGCAGCTAGAGGAGTTTCCATTCTCTTTTCAGGCATGTCACCTTCCCACTACTTCCATGTGTTCACCAACCTGGAAGCTCTTTGCAACTAGTTGTTTAGGAGTTTTCATGGAAATTTCAGTAATGAAAGGCATGATTGATTAAACCATTGGCCATTGGTGATTGAACTCAATTTCCAGCTCCTCTCCTCTCCCTGGAGGTTGAGGGGTGGGACTGATAGTTCCAACCGTCTAATCACCTGGTTGGTTCCTCTGGCAACCAGCCCTCATCCTGAAGCTCACCAGTAGTCATCTCATTAGCATAAACTGTGGTATGGTTGAAAGGGGCTCATTACAAATAACAAAAGACACTTTTGTCACTCAGGAATTTCCAAGGGTTTGAGGAGCTCTGTGCCAGGAACTGGGGACAAAGACCAAATATATATTTATCGTACCCCAACGTCATATTATCCGGAGCAGGAGTAGCTCCCCAAACCATCTCTGCCTGAAGATGCCACTCTTTTCACCACAATGCAGGTAGAATGAGTTGTTCTCTCCTCTGAGCTCCCTAAGCTGCCAATGACTCTATCATGGTGTACTGTTCTTATCACACTGTACTGTAGTTATTCAATATTTTTTAGTTTCTATCCCTCTAACTAGAATGTGAGCTCCATGAGGTAGTATCTAATTCACCTTTGTACTTCCAGCATCTAGCTCAGTGCTTGGCACATTGTTGCTCTGTAAACCATTGAATGAATGTGAGTGAATAGAAAGCAGAGTCTGGTGCCACTGACTTCTGCTGTCTCTAGGTCTGTGTTTAAGCCTGTTTGGTGTTAATCTGGGGACTGGATCATATTGTTGCTAATTGTATTTCCCAGCTCATGTGGGTTTCCTGAGAATCTCAGCTCTGGTATCCTTCAGCTGAATCTGTGGTAGTCTGGAGGGGAATTCAGAGGTCATAATTAGTTCGTTTCAGAATAATGAAAACTGGATTTCGGGGAAAGCAGTCACTCTAGATGCCCTCTGTCTCACAGAGTGTATTCTTTATAAGACACTGCTTTTCTGTATGATATGCCAACTCTACCAAATAACTTTTCAAGTCAGTTTTTTGGGCATGTTAAGATTTTTTTAAAAAGCCCTCTGAAACTTAGAAGTTTGACATTTGCCTGAATTTTTTAAAACTGTTCTCAAATCTAGATAATTTTATTAAGAACTTTGGGTATATGTATACATTTAAATAGTCAACAGTTATTTTTATTTTTTATATTTATTTTTCTTGTTTTTGCTTATAATATCTTTTAACCTTACAAAGGAAATAACACTTTGAGGCATGAAATATTGCCTTTGCTGATTGCCTCATTTGAACAGCAGTTCAGGAATACCTATTTCCTGTTTTGATGGTCAATATAATGGGAGTTACACAGCTTTCCACAGTGAAAGAGATATCATGATCCCTGCCAGTCAACTATTTTAGCTTACTAAAGTATCAGAAAGAATCCCCGCAGTAGTGTGACTGCAGGAAGAGCACTGGATTGGTATCAGGTCCACCTAGATTTTATTTCTTCTGAATTTCTGCCTTCGGGAAAGTAACTTAACCTATTGAAACTTGAGTGATATCCATTTGTAAAACTAATTAGTATCTACTTAGCTATCTCAGGAGGATAATGGATAAAACAAAGTCATATATTCGTGTCTGTTAGGGAGGCCAGAGATAGTACTTGTCTACCCTAGGTCCATGCTAGCTTCATTTCATGGTGTCAGCCTAGGAAGTCTCAGTTCTGACACAGCCCTGGCGCAATAACCATTCTCTTTTAGCAGGTAGAAGTCTGGAAATAGCCTAGTGTGTATGCCTCTGGAATCAATTTGGGCCTCAGGGAAAGTTTTTAGGCATCAGGCTTTAGCTTTTATCTCTTACCCCACCATCTGATGTTGGCTGTTTAATTGGACTTTGGCTCAGATCTGGAAGCTCAGTTCTTCCTCTGTCTCTGTATTGAAATTGGAGCCCAGGCCTAAATCCTTTTGCCTAGTTTCTGCTGGCCCCCTTCCAGGGACTGACTGTTGAGTGCTTGCAGAATCGTTTGCATCATCTTGCTCAGTTCTCTCAGAAGAATGATTTGATCCCAACAGTCCTGAGAACTTCCCCATCCTGAGGCTTTGATATGCTTCTTCATTCCACACCCCTTGGGTAGCACTGACCCTGGCCTGCATGAAATGTGGGTTTATATCCTTTCTCAACTTTGGTGTGGACCAGCTTCCAGCTAGAGAGGAACTGCTACAACTAGTCTTATCCAGCCTCCTTTCTCTGCACCAATCAGATTTACTCCCCAATTCTCTTTTTCTTTATTGTAACATGCCTTGTATCTGGGGCAGAGTAATGACTGCTAAGGTACAAGCACACAAGTATCATTGGCAATTTCTATTGATGTCACTAGAAATCCATCAAATAGGACTTTTAGCATATTAAAATGAGTTGTCTTTTTAGTGTCTTTCTCTTCACACCAAGAAGTAAAGCTTAGCCTATGCTTTCACTGATTAAGTTATCAAATCAGGACGAAAGTTTGTATCTAACCAACTTTAACATCTGAGGCATGGCACATTATTGTTTCCAACTGCATTTTATTAACTATATTTAACTTATGGTTTGCATGTCTATAAATAAATGCACTGTATCATTCCAAGAAATTATCCTCCTATTTTTTGGATTATACCTCGCCACTATACTGTATAGTATAATGAAATATTTGCAAGGGCCAGAAGATTTGGGGGAAAGAGGAATCTTGAAGAAAACTTCCTGAGGAGTATTTTTCTTTTTTGTAGATGAAGATAAATGAGTTAATTGGAATTGCAATCACAGGAAGAGGAAAGATTTTGAATCTAGGTTTCCATTTTCTTACCATCATGTCAGCAAATTCTGATTATAAATTTCCTCATGTAGGCCTAATAAGTAATTTCTGTCAAAAATGATTGTGAAAGAACCAACCTAGCTGACATCTGAAAAGCAGATATCAAACTCCCTAAGCAATTCTCAGTTTCTTCCCACCTTCCAAATTCAATTTAAGTTGAAGCATTAACTTAATACCAATGAATAAAAAAGAAAAAAGAGTCTTAGGGTCAAACATAAAGTTAGTAATGGAGAGAAGATTGCATCCATGATCCCCTCTTCATTCAGACTTTTTGCTTTTTACTTATTTATTCACATATTTCACATAAAATATATCTTTGGTATCAGAGAGAAGTTATCAGGTCTGAACCTGTGTTCCAAAGCAAGGAAGATACTTTTTATTCATTGGAATATTAGGTGGTGTATAGACCGGATCCAATCTCAATTCACTTCTATTTTGGAATAAATCACTGACATCATTTCATCTACTTTAGAAAAGCATCAAAAATATTCTTATGACTTTGCATAGTTCCTGGACATGGAGATTAAATCAGAGGTGGATAAAAACTGTGGAAACTTGAAGGATGAGGGACAATTTGGTGATCTGAATTTCTTTCTTTAATTTTATCTGGCTGAAATAAAATCTTGTTTGTTTATGTAAAGAAATACTTGATAAGCTTTTGGTAGAAAAAAATATACATGACACTTATTGAATTTTAATTACAACACCAAGGATTTTAGAAACCTTAGACATCATCTAGTTCTGAATGCTAATTTTAAATATGTAAAGCTGACCATTTCTTAGGGAAAATGCAGAGGCAATTTTTATTTGGAAACAAAGGATAGACTAGATGACATCTGAGGTTCCATTCAATAAATCTTTTGAAACTGAAGCCAAGAGGTGTTGAGGAAATTGCCCAAGGTTACCTGGCTGATTGTGGCAGAGAGAGCCTAAAATAGAATCCGGGTTTCCAGATTCCTTGTCCGTTTATGACTCTTTTCATACCTAAAGGTATTTGAAACTCAAAACAATGAAGTACTTTGGATAGCGCAATATAGCAAACAATGTAAACCTGGCAATCACATACTTACTTTTGGATTATCTTTTAATTTCCAATCTGGTGAGTCACATAGTGAAATAACGTTGGCATAAGGCCATATCAAGAAAATGAAATGCCGTATCAGGAACTAATTAAAAGGGAAAGAAAATCACTCAGATGAACTCTGTGATTTCCTCTGAATCTTTTGACAAATATAACCTTGAATGCTGACTTGCTTTGAATGCAAATTTTCTCATGACAGTTGGTACATTTGGTGGATAAAACAGAGCTCCTCCTACAAAAAGCCTTCACTTCTAAGGTCATTTGAAATCCATTAAGCTAAGAAGCTGTTCACTGAGACAGATTTCAGTGGTATTGCAGAAGAATTTGATTATAACTGGACACATTATTCACTTATAGTAAGTATGGAACTTAAATTTGGGGAAAGGAGTGTGGGGAGGAGAGGTAACTTGTTTTGAATAATTGTTTTACTTTCTTCACCTTTTTAAAAATGGGCTCATAAAACTTTTTTGTGGCAAAAATAGATTGTTTAACTTGACATAATATTAATTTGGGGAAATGTTACATTTTTGTTGCATGAAGCTAACAGGTGCTGGATAATCAGTATAAATAAGACTTTTGCCTTTAATTTTTATTGTTGTTTTCTTATTAGCTTTTATTTTCTATAAAATTATACTTCTTATAAGAAAACCTGGTCCTTTGGAATTAGTAAGGATAGTTGAATTTTAGAATTGAGGTTTTCTGAGATTATGTTATGTATGATTATTTTCTATAAATGAGAATCCTCCACTTTGTAGAAACTTTTTTCTCTTAAGCTCAGAAATAACCATAGAGCTCCTCTAAAATGAATGATTTAGTTAATCTTTATATGATGTTTTGATTAAATTTATGGAATCATGCATATCCTCTATATGTGGTAATTTCATTTATTTGTATAATTATGGTTACATAATATAGTTTTGGTTGTTAGTGCCATGGAGTTGATTCTGACTCCTAGCGACACTGTGTACAGCAGAATGGAACCCTCCCCCATCTTTTTGCACCATTCTCTCACCTTCCAGGGCTGTATTAGACAACGCTGTGTTGCTATTCATAGGGTTTTAATGGCCAATTTTTTTTGTAAATGGGTGGCCAGATCCTTCTTCCTAGTCTGTCTTAATCTGGAAGTTCCACTGAAACCTGTCCACCATGGGTGACCGTCCTGGTATTTGAAATGCTGGAGGCAGAGCTTTCAGCATCACAGCAACATGCAGCCGCCACAGTATGAAAACTGACAGATGGGTGGTGTGGTTCCCTGACTGGGAAACGAACCCAGGCTGTGGTAGTGACAGCACGAATCTTAACTACTAGACTACCAGGGCTAGCTACACATATAGTAGGGTTATTAAAATAAAAGTTCCAGGGGCCGGCCTCATGGTGTAGTGGTTAAGTTCATGTGCTCTGCTTCAGCAGCCCAGGGTTTGCAGGCTCAGATCCCTGGTGTGGACCCAGCACTGTTCATCAAGCCATGCTGTGGCGGCATCCCACGAAAAAATAGAGGGAGATTGGCACAGATGTTAGCTCAGCAGCAATCTTCCTGAAGCAAAAAGAGGAAAATTGGCAACAGATGTTAGCTCAGGGCCAATCTTCCTCACAAAAAAAGTTCCAATTTTCACTGCTTTTGCTCTGAAATGAACTAGCATCTTATACATTTGATGCTTGTTTTCTTTTAAAAGAATACGTAGTTAACACTTAAATCTGACCATCGCTTTTACACATTGCTCTCACTTCGGATGCTTCCAGATTAGTTTTTTTTTTTTTTTAATGTAAAAGGGTATATAAAACCAAGACATGAATACAAAGGATTTACCAGCTGTTTTTGATAAAAATTTTATTAAAATATAGAATGTTTTAAAGAGCTCAAGACTTAAGTAAGTTGCATGGATTTGTTGTGGTTATTATTATTATTAGTAGTAGTATTACTAAAGAATAATAAACTAAGAACTAAGAGATCTGGTTTTGAGTTCTAGATCTTCCCCATATAGCTCTGTGACCTTGGGTTGAACATCGCACCCTCTCTCTATCTTAATTTCTTCTATAAAATGAGCCAGATCTCGTGACTCTGTGTGATGTAATGAAAGGCAATAGAAATGATTATTTAAACAGTAGGATTAAACAAAGGAGAGGCAGAACAGCTATTGGATTGTTTTAAATGTTTTTAATGCTAAGATCTTACTTGTAAATGAAAAGCTGCTTTCAGGGTAATTTTGGAAAATCAGAGAAATATCACTTATATTTTGCTACAAGTTGGAGGAGTGGGGGTGGAGTGGGTTGCTTGTTTCTTTTGCTGTACTTTTCAGAGTGTCTTCGAGGAATTGATAGCAGGTGTCTCCTGGATATTGGAGAAGTGGAAGACAACTGATAACAATTGAGTTATTATGCCCACTATGCTGCAGACATTTTATATGCAGTATCCCATTTAGTCATTTCCTAAACCCCAAGTATTATTGCCTTCATTTTATAGATAAGAAAATTGAGGTAGAGAGAGCTGAAGTGTCTTTCCCAGATCTGTGTGGCTGCAATGTCTGTACTCTTTCCATTATTCTGTGCTGTCTCTAGGGTCACGTTGAGGCCCCAATGCTGAGGAGATAAGCTCTTTGGAGTTATGTCTTCTATTTGTTTCTGTGGGATCAAGACTTATGCTGGGGAGATGGATAATGTACAGGGTCATAGGTAGGTTGGCAGGTGCCTACATGGTATGATTTGGGAGGCAATTGACAGGTGTCTGCCCACAAATATTATCTTCATTGGCTTGTCAAAGTCACTTTGCCTGAGATTTTACCACTAAAATTGTTACTTTGTTTTGTTTTTCTTTGCCAGTGGGGAAGTCAGGAAGACTTGCAAATACATGTACCTCTAGGAGGGCTTATGTATTAAATCTTTTATCACTTAAGCCATGTCTTAGCAGGCAGCGTGGAATTGGAGACAGAGCTCAGATTTTGGAGCCAGGAAGACTTGGAATTGAAGTCTGATTCCACCATGTCCTAGCTGTTTAATTTGCACGTGATACTTAATCTCTTAGAGTTTTTCTTTCTTTTTTTTCTTTTTTGAGGAAGATTAGCCCTGAGCTAACTGCTGCCAATCCTCTTCTTTTGCTGACGAAGACTGGCCCTGAGCTAATATCCATGCCCATCTTCCTCTACTTTATATGTGGGACTCCTGCTACAGCATGGCTTTTGCCAAACAATGCCATGTCCGCACCCGGGATCTGAACTGGCAAACCCTGGGCCGCCAAGAAGCAGAACGTGCAAACTTAACCACTGCACCACCGGGCCGGCCCCACTAATTACTTCTTGTTTCCAAGTACAACAGTCACATTTCAGTTCTTGCCTTACTTTCCCCCACACCCTCCCTTTGTTGGCCTGTAAGGGACTGACTTTTGAATAATTTTTCCTTGAAATCTTCTGCTTGATTAGTTTCTATGATAACACTTCCTCCTGTCAGTACCACTTATTACCCTCAGGATTAAGTCCAAAGTCTTTTAACGTGACTCAGAAGGCATGCCTATGTACATCTTACACTGCAGGCAAAACAAACCACTTGTGGATCCCTGAATTCATTAAGCTTTCTCACTTCCCTGCTTTTGCTTAATCAGTTATCATTGAGGAGAAATCCTTCCCCTGAATTTCCGCTTGCCCCCTCTGCAAACACCTACTCCTTATTTATGTAATAGTTTAAGTACTACTTCCTCTAAGGACTCTTACTTAACTACCACCACTCCCAAAACCAGGTTAAGTACCTGTCTTCTGTGCTTCTAAGTGCCTACCTCTCCTGGAACTTAATACACCTTATTATAGTTGAAGTTAGTATGAAATTAATCCACAAACTTGGGTACAAAAGAAATTTCACATTTTAAAATGTTCTCTAAGCTACCTTGTATGCAGCATTCTGCCAGGAAAGTAAGATATGCAATTTTCATCAATACTCGAGCCTCCTACTGGGTTATGTAAATATTCTGAGGCCTTAGGTAACACCAAAATGCTGAGGAGGCCCTTTTTTGGTGATTGATCATAAGTTTTCTATCAACTCTCTGATATAGTCTCTGATATACCATTTTGTCTCAACCTGGGATAGTCCTTTCAGGTTTGCTGCTGCTGCTTCTATGCCATGCTTTTGGGGGCTAGATCATTGCTGAGATTGGGTCCCCTGTGTCTAGGTCCCAGCACTCTCACTGAACCTCCTCTGAACTTTTGCCCCCTTCCTAAGCTGCTGCCGTCAAATGTTGAGCTGTTCTCCCTGCCACCTCTAATCCCTACCAGACTCTTGACTTCTTTTTGTCTAAAGTATATGTCCCTTTCCCTCCTCCATTCATCTGTCCTCTTGAGACCCTCATTGGCACTCCCAGGCATAATCTCTTCCATGAGCTTGGGTTTGGAGGATACTAAAGCCAGGAAGGTAAGTCTCTGTGAACAGCTTCTGCTTTTGATCCTTGCAATAGGGGAGGAAGGATCCCCTTGGATGAAGTAATGAAGAATAAAAAGGCCTGGCTATGGACCTACCCTACTCGTCGGCAGCCATGCTGTGGCAGTGAGCCACATACAAAATAGAGGAAGATTGGCACAGATGTTAGCTCAGGGCTAATCTGCCTCAAGCAAAAAGAGGAAGACTGGCAACAGATGTTAGCTCAGAGTGATTCTTCCATAGCAAAAAAAAAAAAAAAAAAAAAAAGGTCTGGCTGTCTTCTTGAAATGGGAGGGAGAAGCGAAAAAACTTAGAGCAAAATACAAATAATTGTCTCAGAATATGTTGCCACCTAGTTGTCTATTTACGAGACTCTCCCCTTCACTAAATTGTCTTTTTTTTCTTTTTATTAAAAGATTGGCACCTGAGCTAAGATCTGTTGCTGATCTTTTTTTTCTATTTCTTCTCCCCAAAGCCCCCCAGTACATAGCTGTATATTCTAGTTGTAAGGTCCTTCTGGTTGTGCTGTGTGGGACACTGACTCAACATGGCTTGATGAGCAGTGCTAGGTCTGCGCCCGGGATCCGAACCTGTGAAACCCTGGGCTGCTGAAGCAGAGTGTGTGAACTTGGCTACAGGACCAGCCCCAATTGTGTCTTTTAATATACTGCAGAATTTCATTCCCTAATATGTTAGTAGAGAGTACAGAGGAAACTCACAGAATCTAGTCTAGGAGGGGGACTCCGGAAAGTGTATAGAAGGAAGTGCTACCTGAGCTAAATCTCAGTGACCAGGGGTAATCAGTGACTAGGCTAGGTAAAGCAGGATTGGTGTCAGGGGACCTGTATGGATGAAAGCTTAGAGACAAAAGAAGACCCCACTTTTCAAGATCTATAGATAGAAAATGAGACTAAAGTGTGGGTAACGTCCAGACAATGGAAAGTGTTAATTGCCACGC